GTGTCTGTAGAAGGATGTAAGAATCTCTGCTCTCCAGGTGTGTCTGTAGAAGGATGTAAGAATCTCTGCTCTCCAGGTGAAGTGTCTGTAGAAGGATGTAAGAATCTCTGCTCTCCAGGTGAAGTGTCTGTAGAAGGATGTAAGAATCTCTGCTCTCCAGGTGAAGTGTCAGTAGAAAGATGCAAGAATCTCTGCTCTCCAGGTGAAGTGTCTGTAGAAGGATGTAAGAATCTGCTCTCCAGGTGATGTGTCAGTAGAAAGATGTAAGAATCTCTGCTCTCCAGGTGAAGTGTCTGTGATGACGTTTTGTTAAAGTATCTTGAACAGATCAAAAGTTATAAGCCAAACAAGAGACGGTTTACGTCCGACTATAGAGACTAATACATCCTGTCTGTGACACTTTGTGACACCAAACTGCTGTCATGAAGCCCGACGGCCTGTTTTTATATTTGTGTCCGTGCGTGTGCACGTGCTCCCAAAGGACTGAGGAAATGCATCAGCAGTGATCGCAACAATTCCAGGAAACAGCCGTGGCTTCTGAACGCAGACCTTCCAGTAAAACTGAGAGCTGAAGGAGTCCTCCCAGCAGCCGACTCTTCTTCACGTCGTTTCCACGGCTTGTTGTGAACTCATTGATTATCAACCGTGAAGGTGAAGACGATCAATAAACCTGATTAAACATGGCGGCCACAAATAAATGGCTCTAAAAACAAAGAGAAATGGCAGCATGAGCTGGTTTAGTTGGTGTGGTGGTAACTTGAAAGTGATCCCCAACACATCCGCTGAGCACAGATTGTGCAATATCTTTGATGAACCATTTCACATTACTTAGAGGCAACTGTGTCTGTTAGCAAAATATCTCATGAACCAGTGGACATATTCTAATGTAACTTTCAAAAAGTACTTACTGGATGTGCCTGAACAATTGATTAGGTTTTGAATACGTCCCGATTCAAGATGGCAGCAACAGCCAGTCAACCATAGTCAGGTCAGTTTTACAGATATTGGGTTAAAATCTGGTTTGGTAGTAGCTGAGAGTCATTCACAGCCTGAGCACAACTATGAATATTACATCTGATTCTATTTTATTTTTTTTTTTCCAAGGTTTGTGAAGAAAAAAAATGGTTGTAATTCTCAACAAAAGATGATCTCAGTCCAAAACTCTGGCACAAGAAGTGTTGGCTGATGAGCTTTATTTTCCACAGCTTCACTTTTATTGTTCAGCCATGAAAAAGGCTGTTGAAGCTTTGGTTGGCAGCACTACGCCGGTGTCAGCTGCCCTGTGCAATGTGTCTCACGACCCCCCGGCTTTCTGTGAAAACACAGGCGCACACACAAACTGAGACGAGAGTGCCAGCAGGGTTCTCGTGAGCCGGCACCAACTACTGTTCCAACAGAAACTGACATTTTATCATAAACACGTTCCTCTCTGAGACAATCATGATCAAATGATTTCAAATCAATCAGTAAAACACATGAAGAAAAATAAAATAGATTTTTGTAATGTCCCGTATTTAGCACCTACTATCACTTCTTTTGACTTTTGAGGCTCTTTGTGTTATGAAATCCTGCCTCACTTGCATTTACCTGCTTATCACCGTGGCAACGATAAATGAAGCACTGCAGCTACATCCCTGAAAAGAAACATGGCTTCATTTTATCAGAGCAATACAGAAGATGGTGCTGAGTTTGGGATTTTATCAGATGCTGTACATGAAATAAGTTTTAAGGGCCCGCATTTTTAGGGGGGGGGGGGGGGGCTTTCATTCTTATTTAACCAGGAAGCCAGAACTTTTGGTTTGAACACAGACATTAAATCTATTCCCCTACACTAGTTTACTTATCAGAATCTAGACGTGTGATATAAAGTATTTCTATTATTCAGTTTTTATGAAGTGCAACAATACAAAGTGAGCTGTAGGACACAATAGTGTCTTCAAAGAAGGATTTCTGTAAGAAACCTTATCTTTGCTTTTAGAAAGACAATGAAATAAAACTATTTTTCACAGTTTGAACTAGAGAAATTGCATTTTGTGCAGAAATACATTGAGTAATGAGTGCTGAACACCAAAAGTAGCAAAAATCTAGCTGAAATGAGCAAAACACTAATTAATGTCTAAAAGTAGCCCTAGGATAGCTAAAAGGCAAATGTAGCAAAAGCTAACTTAAAGGTGAAAGTACCTAAATGCTGCTAAAGGGTTGCTAAACGTAGCAACGGCTAGCTTAAAAAAAAGGCAAAAGATTAGCTAAAAACTAAAAGTAGCATAAGCTAAATATTTGTGCAGTATCTAAAGTGATCTCAGTATATTTCTACAGGTAAAACATTGTAAAGTTAAATGTTTAGTGATGCACGATATTGGATTTTTGGCCGATATGACAATATGTTCAAACTTATTTGGCTGATAACCGATACCAATACCGATATATCCCCCACCCCAGACCTACTTACAGAGACTTCACAGCTTTCTCTGCTGTGGAATTAAAACATTATTCTGGATGGTCTTTGGCAATTTGGTCTGCTAACAAATGCAGATGCTAAAAAGGGCTGAAAATGATGCAACGCTTCAACTTGGATTATGTTTAATGTCACATTTATTCATGACATTATGCTGGCGCTGCAGGTGTACTGGGTTGTCATACAAAAAACAGCGCCTTTTATATCGGTGAGTTATTTTGATGAAATAGTCGATGTCCGATATTTAACTTTATCGCTAATATTGACCGATACCATATGCCGATAATATCGTGCATCTCTAAAACACAGTATAAAAACTGCAAAAAATAAAAATCAGAGCACTCATCTGAAAGAGCTAAACGCTTTGATTTATGGATAGCACAAAACATGTGGTTAGATTAAAACAACACATAAAAACAAACAGGATATTGTAAATGCTGAATCAGCGTTCACTATAAAACTGAGCCTCTACAATAAATATGATGCTGCATTTGTTGTTTTTTTACCTTTAGGCACTTTATTTTCTTCAGTACAATAAATATCAGCACCTCCATTTCTTAATAGCTTAGAAATAAACTTAAATATTATTTTGTTAAATTATATTCCCCACTTCTGTACCGCTTTCAGCCCAATCATGCAACTACTTTGACTCGTAGTTATCACTCAGCGCAGGTAACGGTTCTGGATCCAAACTGGATACGTTTTAATGCAGCAGGCTGCTCTCCTGCAGCTGAAGTACTACGGTTCCCAGTCCACGTCCCCCAACATGTGGGTGACCAGAACTCACAGGGCAAAAAGTGGAAAAGTATGGTGTGTGTGCATACATGGTGCATCCGCTGCATTTATCCTCCCGGGAACAGAGCGGGATCCAGAGATCAGAACATTCCACAATAAAACCACCATTAGGACCATTAGGAGGAAAGGGGAGTTTAAAAAAATCTCTTTGGGTTACAGTGCAAATGTCAAGAGAATAAGCTTAAATGTGAATTCCCTCACATAGACTCTTGAACAGTCTCCTCCCTCCCTCAAGTTTTCTATTCAAATGGAGCAGGAAGGCGTCTTATGACTTAAATCTGCCCCCGCTGTGCCTTTTGGCAAAGCTTCACAAAACGTCTTGAAAAGAGTCATTTAGAGAGTGAACCTCTGCGTGTCTGGTTGCCTCTGAGGCGTCAGTGGCGCGGTTGTTCCTCTCCTACAGAGCTCCAAGTGTGCTCCGTCAGGCAAGTGTCATGTGCAAAAACCAACGGGCAGTCTTTGTATGCGTAAACAGCATCAAACATAATGTTTTCGTTGCCCCTTTCTGGGATTTTTCCCAGCTGCTTGTACGTGTTTTGTTTTTTGGCACCTGTTGGAATGTGTTTTTCTAGCGTCGCTAGTAAAGTTCATGTAAGTTGGAAGCAGGTCGGCTCCAACCGCCGCTCCTGGTTCCCATTTTACCTCCACTGCCGTGTCGGCGTAGCGTTCGCAGGGGTTGGTATATACTCTGTCCCCGCCCTGCGTGGGGACATTGACGTCCAGCTCTGGATTGCCTCGTCGCGCTGGCTTCGACTGAAGTAGGTCGTTTCTGTGCCGCTTCTCTATCCGGAGGGAAACGGCGAGCGTCAGGAGGTGGAGGAGCTCGACGACGTTGAGGAGCAGGGAGACGGCTGCGATCACCTGGGTGTAGACGGTGAAGATGGTCTTCTCTGTGGGACGAGAGACGAAGCAGTCCACGGTGTGAGGGCACGGGAACCCTGTGCACTCAAACTTGGCTGCGATGAAGAAGCTCCCGTAAAGGAACCAGAGTCCAACAATAAATCCAGCCTCTAGTAGAACTTTTACCAGGATGCTGGCTGCGTATGCTCCAAGCAGTCTGCCTTTCAGTTTCAACGGCCCATGAGGAGTCTTGGTAGATCTCACCGTGTTCCCACCGCTCTTTTCTTTCTCTTTCTCCTCTGAGTCATCTTTAGTCACACAGTTATGATCCCTTACTAAACCTTTACCCGCCTGCTCCTCATCTTTAACCTCTCCGTCTCTGTGGTTCTTCCCAGTCTGCACGGCCACATACCCGAAGTAGAAGATGGTCGGCGTGGAGACGAAGATGACTTGGAGGATGAAGTAGCGGAAGTGGGATATGGGGAAGGCTCTGTCGTAGCACACGGCGGTGCAGCCCGGTTGCTTTGTGTTGCACACAAAGTCGGCTTGTTCGTCATCCCACGCCGATTCAGCGGCGGTTCCCAGGACCAGCATCCGAAACAGGAAGAGGATGGTAAGCCAGATGCGGCCGATCGCTGTCGAGTACTCTTGGCCCTCCTCCAGCAGGTGTTCCAGGAAGGACCAGTCAGCTCTGGACATCCTCTGCTCCTGGGAACCAGCAGACACAAGGAACAATCCAAATCAGAACCAGAATTCATTGCCATCGTACAGAACAACAAGATTAAAAACTTAAGACTGCAGTGCAGGGTAGGTTGAGAAACGGAGATGAGAATATCTGAGACATGAAGGGACTAATCGTTAGCTCTGATCTTAAGCACTTGTAACTTCCTCCAATTCATGGTAGATCAAAGAGCTTCCAAAAGAAAAAAGAGGGCTGAGAAGAGATGTCAAAATCAACATTATGGATTACATAGGTTTGTTGACGTCTGTATTCTTAGTTGACTTTTTAAAATGTTATTTATCCGTTAGATTCTTGAACTTTACAGTAGACATAAAAACTATTTTTCCTCACACCACGAGTGAGCGCAGAGTTCTGATAGGACGGTATAAGATAAACCGGTAGTTTCAGACTATCGTGGATAAACAGCGCCCACAACAGTGTTAGGTTCTAAGGGTTTTCAAAGACCAACCAGATTTAAAATATTGGAGTACTTCAAGCTAGCTGACAAGTAGTATGTTGTATGTTCTGTTAGGTTTCCTGGGCTTACAGCAGCTCGACGAGAGCGATGCACCAGTAGAAGGACTGTGAGATGCTGAGAGGTAAAACAAAATGTCCTTACAGAGATCCCATTTCCCATCTGCTTCAATTTGTTTCCCTCCATTCTTTTAGGCAATAATGTTTAAAATAAAATGCTAAAATAAAATGTATAGATTAGATTTTTTACTTTTTCCAATCAAATCCTAATGGCTGGAAATCTTTTATATCGAGGTGATGGAACATTTCTTGACCCAACAACCATTGAGTGATATTTATTTGACTTTTGTCTGTTTTAAACACGTTGAATTGTAAAGATACAGGTAATAACTAAATGGATAACACGTATATCAGACAAGCTTTTATAGATAAATAACATGCTGTGATAAGTGTCTAGGTTAAGTTAAAAGATGATGCATTATTTTAAAAAGTTGTGATGTATTCGTCTCTTTCTTCTGTGACTGAAGTGGTACACCAATGCTCCCCATTGCTGAGGAATTTGAATAGTGAATTTTTATAGTGTTTTAAATTTATTTTATTTTTTTCTGGACTGGAATTAAACAGGGAATGCAGATAAACCTTAATGTTTTTGGTTACACTGTGAATGAGAAGACCAGTACTTTTTTCCCCTCTTGTCCATGGCGGTGCAGATTGACAGATCCTGGTGAGAGGAGGAACAATAGTTTCCACCACCAGGAACAACGGCAGAGTCAGAGGGTGGCCAATGGTGGCCCTGGCCACCATAGATTAATCTTCAGCCACCCCAATCTTTTGAGGAAACTATACTTTTATACAATATAAAAACTACAAATCATAGTTTCCTCAAATGATTGGGGTGGCTTATTTACACTCGCAAGGTGGCCATATTGGATTTAGACAAGGCGACACAATTTTCAACAGTGAACCGTCTTACGCCTATATGCAGCCACACACCAAAATGGAAGTCGGCTCCTCGTTTATTTTTTAAGTTATCCAGCTCACAAGACGGACGGATGAATGGAGGGTATTTCCAAGTCCTCACTTGGCTCCACGACGAGAAACAAAAAGCTGTTCTCATCAACAGTATCCTTCCAACACACTGAATATTCAGGTTTTTGATTTCTAAATATGTACATAATCAGAGCTTCCTTTTAGTTATATGTCATGATGAATTGTCACCAAAAAAAAACTCTATTTTCAAGACCAGTTTGCAAATGTTTACTATTTTTTTTATATTGTGAACACCAAAGTTGACTCTTAAAAATAAAAATATATTTGGAAGACATTTATTTTAGGTTAATGAACTCGTCAAAAATAAGCTGATTAAGTTGAATAACAATAGTTTTTCTTAGCAGCTCTAGTCTAAAACCAGCTTAAGGATGAATTTGCTCTTAAACCTTCCACAGAAGCCCACTTCAAAACATCTGGATCATCCTTTTCAGTGTCACCTTAAAAATAAAAAACAAATTCACATACTGTTATGGTCTAATACGCACATTTCCAGAATGACAAAAACAGCTCGAGTATTTAGCTTTTTTAAATAAATGTGAAAGTTGTAAAAACCTTCACTGAACCTGATGTGATGCAGCAGGCATGTATCTGTTGGATCATTGTTTTTAGAACAGGACTGGCCATCACAACACACACACACACACACACACACACACACACACACACACACACACAACACAAGACAAGACAAGACCCTAAACTCATAACAGACACGTCTGTCTAGATTAAGTCTCAGAGTTATTGGTGTGCGTCACAATAAAAATCAGGGCAAGAGGTTAAAAAAGCTGCCAGGCAGAGGACCAGGAAACGAGCCAGGATGTAGAGAAACAGATTTCAGGTTCCTAGACAAAAACAAACCACCTTTAATGGTCTTTCATGGTAAGAGAATCATCAAATTTTAAATGTATAAAGTTTGAAACAACAGAAAGAAACACTTCCACTGTCATGGTGATCTATAGTTATAGATATATTTGTGTTTGGTTGGTTGTAGCAATGCATTTCTCCAACATCTTTATCCCCGTGCGTTTCTTTTTGTTCTATTACACATTAAACTAATGAACGTCTTGTTTTGAGCTACATGGAAGTAAAAGGATGTTGGAGATAAATGACACACGTCTGAATAAACATCCGGTGTGGGGGAGTTGATGTCTATTTGTTTATCCTATTAATGTTGTTTTTATCTGTTATTTCTTCCTCCTCTGAGAAGAAAAGAGCAGAGAAGACCACACAATGGACATTGTTGTACGCCTCACAAATGGTCTTCATAATTCATTGTATAAATGTGCAGACATGAGAAGTAAATGGAAACAAACAAAAAAAGGTTTTAGTCAAGTTTATATTTGCTCAACTTGCATTACTTTTCTTGTTCTTTTACATTAAAAACACTCAAGTTTCCAAAGTTGAGGTGAAATGTCAGAGAAAATGTATTTAATTAACTTTAAACTGGCAATGACGTCACTGTAGCTTTGACTGTCATTATGGCTGACCTGGTTTTGTTTAAAACAACTTATTTTAACATATATCTACCAGTAAAAAGGTCGAGTCTCTATGACTTTTCTGTGTGTAAAGTTGACAAAGTTAGGAATGAGACACTGGAACATTTGTTTTGTAACAAAGTATGCTAGCTGTATCAGTAATGCTAATTTTGTCCTTTAAAATCAAAGAAGAGCCGCGTTCGGTGCAAATGTTTAATTCAATGGTTCTGTTATCCTAATTTCATCTTTTCTTCGTCCTACCTTTCTCTCTCTTGAAGCGGGTTCAGCCTCCTCGCCCTCTTTCTGCTCTCAGCACCTCCTCAAGTCACTTTACTCCGACTGCTGTTAGCCTCCTTTTTTAAAAAGTTCCCATGTCGTCGGAAAAAGGGGGGGAAACTTTCCCATGCCTCCTTCACGGACCCTCCTCCCTCTGGAACTTCGTCCAGGAAACGTAACGGACAGAGTCAGACGAGCTCGGACGTTTGAGCTTTTTTTAAATTTTATTTATTTATTTATTTTTACTTTTAATTAACGCCAACTCTGAGCAATAATCTCATGTTATCAAAGCTTTAAAGAGAAAGCGATGTACTGTAAAAACCGTTTAGAAGTTCTGCTAAAAAAAATAAATAAACCACAATGTCACTCTTTGGTGTGATAACGTTGGAACTAGATATTTCCAGACGCCTTCTGGAGTACCTGAACGTGCTTTTGTTGCCTAAAACAGCAGTCTGCAACTTTTTAAGAGCCACTTCTGCTCTAATTAAAGTAAGCAGCGTGAGAACCAACTGATGGCCCACGGGCCGTGTCAGTGAAGGTTTACCCCTGCACGGGATGCTCAAATAAAACTCATCACAACTCTCATTATATAATACACAAATACTTCATACTACGATCGTTTATTAGGTCATAGAGGTAAAAAGCTACAATTACTTTAGTTGTTTATTGGTGTTTTCACATGTTACAACAAAAAATTAAGAAACTGGGAAAATATTTTATATCCTAAATATGCATGAAAAGGCTAAAATCCTGATTTCTTCCTTTTGTTTGCAGAAAAATATTAAGTGTCTCACTTCAAAATAGCTGTCATTCACATCATTTGAAAAAAAAGGGCTGTAGAACTGCTAAAAGTAGTCATTTCTATTAGATAGATAGGTAGGTAGGTAGGTTTGATTGATCGATCGATCGATCTCTTCTTCAGTGGTCACCACAGTGAACTAACTCGCATGAAGACTTGGCGATTGTTTTTACATCGGATGTCCTTCCTGACCCAACCACAGACCATCAAGCTACCACAGCTCTCTGTGTGGAGCAGAGAGCTGCCATCTATGGTGCTCGGGGGAGCAGATGGTGAGGGTTGAGGGCCTTGCTCAAGGGCCCAGAGCGGGGCAAATGAGGGTGGAGGCAGGTGTGGGTGCTCCATCTATCCCAACCACATTTTGATGGGGTCGAACTGGTGACATTATGATCACAAACTCGCTTTCTCTAACATCTGCGTGACCACTCCCCCAATTTATAATCATAATAATAATTATATATATGTGTGTGTGTGTGTGTGTTTTTCATAATGACAGTTATTTTGGTCAAAGCTACAAAGAGCCACCTGTGGCCCCATGAGACTTCTGCTCTAACTGGGCTAATTGATGCTGTGTAATTATTATTTTGGCCACTTGGTGGCGACACTCACCTTAATTGTTTCAAAGAAGCTCCTCAACAACCTGCAGTATTTAAGGTTCATGGTACGTTTTTGTCATCCACATCACATGTGGTACATGAGGTGGAACGAAACTGTGTACTCAAGGTCCCAGTTACTCAGTTTACTGTGTAGGTTTAATTTCTTAGTTTATTCATTTAGGGTTTTGGAAGTTTTTTTAATTTGTTTTAGTGTAACTTATGATTATTACATTGTCTTACTTGTAATATCAGATATCAGGAGCTTTACACTGAATTTACAAATAAAATATTGTAGTTTTCACCTTCAT